TTGTAAAATGGAACCAACATGCAACTAGTTCATCAATCAGTGAATCAGTCAGTCTGTCTGTCTGTCAGGTGGTGCTTCACTTTTTACTCAAATCAGTTCTGAGACAGATTTTGCCCGAGCTTGAGATGTAGAATCATGCAAATTATCTTTAAACACGATTGCTTTCCTCATCAATTGAATCAAAAGGCATAGAAACAGACCGAATTACCACGAAGCTTGGGGACTTTAAAGACAACATGTGTACAAAGTTTATCGTTCATCTTGTAAGGCAGAATCAATTACATTTTTGTCAACTTGTGTATTTCTTCCCCATATTTTTATTTATGAATAAGCCCGTTTTTAGCATGAAAATAATTGTTTGAATCGATCCCGCCAGATTTAAATCGAGTGAATGAATGTCCATGACCTTCATCAGAGATGGTATATAATCAATAGTTCTCACGAGGTCAATGACCTCTTTCCGACGGTCAACAATTTCTGATTGAGGGGGTGTTTATTTGATGATACTTTAGTGCGGCAGTCTGTCGATACAAAGAGATCAGCAACGATGCACAAACACACAGACAGACATGCGCACAAGTGGGCAGACAGAGAAATGTTTTCATATTTATTGACTATAGTTACCTTATCGGTAATAAATTCGATTATTTTAGACAATGATATTGGCCCAAACTGTTGAATAGACCAATTCGATGCGCGTCAGATAATTCGCCTTTTTACTCGTGCTCAGATAAGTGAGCAAACGAATGCCTGGTGAACGAAAGAAAACGAATTGATTGACAGTTGCGCTGCACAAATAATTCTCTTGATGATGTTTGTGTTTGTCTGTAATTGTGAACGTGTGGGTCGGTTTAGTTGTTTGTTCACAGTAAAACGGAACACTGTTTCCGCGGGGAAAGCGTTTCACCATCGTTGTTTTGGGTGAGATTGCGGTAGAGACTAAAATTATCAGTTCATTCGGTGAGTGCTATTCGTCAGTTTGGTTGGAAAATGTACTAGTATACTTGGGTTCTATTTGTGAAATCCAGGGTCGATCCCTAGTGAGATCGATGGATTAAAGGTGCTAGTGAGACCCAACCGAGGTCTGTACAGTACGTTTCACTCCTTTGGTACACGTTTTAGTTCCTCTATTCATACAACATGATTTATTGCAAAATCGAACCCAGTTCAATTGATTCCTAAACAAACGGGCAATTCAAAGCATTTGAAATTATTACTGATTGCACTAAGTGATTATTCTTTAGGATTTAGATATTAGTAACTGTAACAGGTATACCAATCGCGTGATTCGGAAGATCGAAAAGGAATAATGTGTCACTAACATTTTAGCAGTATATGCCATGGGTTGATTACAGAAGCCAACTGTAGTAAAAATCAATGATGGCAGAGATATTACAAGCCGTTTGGTCTTGATGGCTTTGTCTGTTGAAAAGTGTACGAACATTAGACATATATGTACGAAACGACAAAACATTACCGGATACGATGCTTGATGAGCGATAAGAACCACGAAACCAGTCGTTTGCTTCCGAGGAATTGTAGAGTCTTTCACACACTACTACGAACATCATCCATTGTTTACAACAAGCCAACTGTGTTTAGCAGTGTATGACATTCACTGCCAATCTAGCAGGTTTAAGCAATCACAGACAAGCACTCGCCTAATATTCCACGAAATTCTCTTGAAATTCGAAATTCATTTCATATTTCTGCGTTGCTTGTTAGGTATTATCCAAAAGTCCATCTGTCGATGATTTGCGACAATTAGAACGCACCGAACCGAAAAATAAGCAATCCTACTGTTGATAAGTAAAGTATTGTTTATGTCCAACGAAACAATTGAGGTTGTCTGAAATCTAGAAAGATTCTTATGAACCCAACATAGATCTTAATATAAAGTTGACCAAGCACAAACTGAAACTTACGGGATTTGCAGTCGCTGTGGCCATCCCATTTGCTGGACCAGCCTCATCGTCGGTGATCGAACGTTGATGACTTGCAGCATCGGACCACGTGGGTGGAGGTTTTGCAAGCTTCGAACTTGTAGTCACGTGATCCCAAGCATCTACCGGGTGCGCGGATGTGGTACACTGTTCTGACTGCACTCGACCCCGGTGACAACATGCACCAAAACATCGCCGAATCAGTTTATACATGGAATAGATACAGCGAAATATCGATTTTGGGCTGACGATTGTGTTCAAAGGGGGCGGTAGAGTTGATCCTTCATCAAAGTAGCCAACCCAAAGTTTGCTTCTGGCGAACTTCCATTCGGTATCCGCATGATTCTGATGTGAGTAAGTCGGAAGAGGGCAGTCAAATACGAAACAGTGTTTTGGGTGGAACAATCATTGATATCGACTGCTTTTTCTATCACAAAATACATTTTAAATGAAAACTAATACAGTCGAGACTTCAATAACCTAATAATTCCGTCTTCATTCAACTTGATCGGAATGGGAAAACGATTGGGATTATTTTGCTTCCAAAGTATCCTTTCATTTTTTTTCTTTTATTGAACATTTAATGAGACAATTTTCAGGAAGAAGAATTCGCCAAACAAAGACTGTCATATAACGGTCCGAGAATGGAGAAGGCCAGATGGTCGGATTCGAACACACGTCCTCCCCGGGGCGATAATGTGTTGATCTTTGCGAATTCACCACCAAAATGTTGATGTGGGTGTAGTAGTAGTTGAGGAGTGAATAGAGCTGAAACTTTATTTTGATCTTATATCATTATTCGATGTCGGGAAATTGTCTGACTCGATGTTTTGTGTACAAAGCCTGTTTATGAGGCCATTCTTGTTAATTACGATCTGACAACGTCATGTTCGGGTCACGTTAGATCATGTAACACCATCAAGTAAGATAATTCCATTCTGCTTGATTAAGCGGTTCCACACCGAAACGGTTGGATGATATAAAATATCGAGTACTTTTATTGTTGCTCGTTCACTGGTCATGACGTAATATCACGTTCCTCGTTGACCTCATTTCATCTCCTAGTTCCTATGATAATGTTAATTCGATGTTATTTTACTATTAACCGTAGCAATTAGGGGTAAAACACGACATTTTCGTTTCTTACTAGGGACTAGAGCCTAGAAGTAGCCCAGTTACCCGAATAATTTCTGCTCCGGTTCCCACGCATAGTTTGTATTTGTAGCAGTAGATCGATTACAAAACAACGACAATAACAACAACATGCGTCTTAAATTGAATGTGTTTGCTTTCAAACCCTACCAACAAAATCAATATGGTATCAAGTCGGTGGGATGTTATGCTGTGTTCTTGTTTTATTTTTAATTGTTCATGGATCATTCAAGCCCGACCGATCGATTCAGGCAGAACGCTCATGTTTTGTTCGCCTGGGAACTTGGGAAGTTATACTTACGGTTCACTGGTCTCAAAGTAAGTGTTCTTCTTTTGTGAGCTTCAGTAATACTATCTTCTCTTCCCATTTTGGATAGCTCATCACAACGTAATCTTGTTTTATTTTACGCAACCCAACACTACATCAGTCAATTTTCATGATCCTACCGTAGGAATAATGCTGGTTTTGTCATATTTTGTAATAGTATGAAATCTATTTGGATATCGACTCGTGATAAATCAAAAATTGGAAAATGAGTTCATTATCTGTTTTTGAGTGTTGTTCCCAGCCTAGTAAGATATCCTTTGTGGATTCAACTTAACAATGGTCAGATCTGAAAAGCTTGTAATGACATAATGGCTTGTTTTCTCCAGCTGCAATTCAACACTATGTGAGTAAAACCACTCGGGTTTCTATAACATAATATAGATATCGTCTTTATGGATAAAGAAGTGATTCGTTCCTCGTTTTATCATGCTTTTATGTGCAACAAAGGATATTGAATTGAATATGAAAGTAGGAAACTCGTTTTTGACTTCATTTTGCGTTTGAAAATATGAACCAAATCTTGTGAAACGGAAAGCCTGAAATTGTGCTGCGGAGTCTTATTCGTCTAAGAATAAATTGTTGTTAGCACTGAGAGAGAGTAACAGAGGATTCTGGTCGAAAATGTTCCCTGAGTCAGAAGACGATTCCGATTATTTCAGTATAATGACAGCAAAATCCAAATAAGCTTATCCAGCTTCATTTCTGTTAAAAGACCGTACCGAAGAGCAAACAGGTTTGATATGAGCTAAGAATCATTAATCATAAAGAAGACAGTTCCGTTGGTCTCCGAATGAATCACTGGTGCTAAAGAAGTTAGTACTTCATTAGCTAATTCCATCCTAGATTAACTTCACTTCTACCAGTGATCAACTCCTGTCAATCAGTTGACAGCAAGCTACCAACGAGTTCTTCTGTCAACACAGCTTAGCGACGCTTAATAAATTTCTCAAATTGAAATTAGTGATCCCGTTTTAAAGAGACCCAGTCTGTATCCCACCCTGAACTGTGATCACAAATGAGGATCACGATCATGATCAGAAGTCAACTATGGACACCGACTGGCGCCTCCGAATAGCTGACCTTGAGAAAGTGCTTCTGTAAACCTCAGTGGAATTCACAAACACTTCTAGTGGATGATAATGTGTCACTGTTGAGCAATACACACATATGCTCCAATGAACAACAGATCGCCAAACACGGTTACATCGGGGCCCCAAAATAGTCAATTTGGGTGTTTCTTTGCTGATCGAACTCGAAGATGAGGCAACTGTAGATGCGTTTCCGAAATTACTGAAAAATTTGGTAAATAAAGCAAGAACACCAAACATTTGGATTCATATATGCTGGCCAACCAAGAGTAAATGACAGCGGCTCTTACCTTTTTCAGCCTAGTCAGAATTTTGTTCTATTTTTGGGTCCCTACTAGAATTTGAATTAGGTTCGAATCATTCAGGCTGTGACGATGTGCCTGTTAAGGCAAACCCCTTACCTTTTCGGTTACACTGCCAATAGTCAACGCCTTGGTCGTATGGCTATATGAAATGGATATTTTTTGGTACATTTCCCAGAAAATTCACATTCAGTATCTGTGTGTTTTCTTCCGGTATGAATCCCACTCATCAGGGATCGGTCTCTTCCTGACATGGTTATGCTGTTTCAGTATGATACCCATGTCTGAAAACTGCACCCCGTCTATCCTCACACACACACACACACACACACACAAATCCCCGCCGAATTCGGAGTGTTTTAACATTAGAAGAACCAATCGACTTGTAAAAAGAGAAACGTACATCAAAAACACAATAGCAACAGACCCTGGTGTTCACGAATTCATCATGATAATACAATAAATGTGTTCAAAATGAATAATGCAGAAGAATCTGCCAAAAGAATGATGTTTTAGTTTCAACGGTGATTTATTTTTAACAATGCGTTTTTATGAGCAGTTCTTTTTACATTATGGAATCGCTAAAGGAATATAAAAAGCAATGTATCACACACTATCTGTTCCCTTGGAACAACACTATGATTGCCCAGTGAGCAGGTAAATAGGTGCAAGAATTTGAAACAACAACTTTACGTTCTAAATGCCCGCTGTTTAAATATCCTTTTCAATCGTAGACTCTTTTCACCTCATTCAGTGTTTGTTTGCGTAGTATCTTTTAGCAAAGATGTTGATAGCTAAAACATGCATTAGGATTGTATGGAAAGGTGCACGTGCGAAGATCGTTCGACAATGCAGTCCTCATATACTTATTCGATGAGCTTCAATAATCGCACAAACGGTTATTTTCCCGATTAATGTTTACTCAGTTATTTCTCATGGGAACTTGCATATCCCCGCTTCCATATCCCACCAAACCAAATGCCTACTTGCAATCTTGCGTACGGATATTTTGACAGCTTCTTAGGTTTTTACACTATGATTAATTGGTTCTGCAAAAACATGCGTTCTCCCAGTTTTCGATTGACCATGACACCCAGATAGATACAAGATGACACCCTTTGAGTGTGTGCATGTGTGTGTGTAATAAACACTTTGGTCTATTTAGTTTTCTTCATAATGACATATCTTGTTTTCGTTGTTCTCGAGGAATAAACTAATCAGTTTTGTCCCTTCCCGTTCTCTCACGCGCATCCACAATCCCTTGTTCTCACCTCTCTTCCACTGTACTCCTCTCTTAAATGTGCTGAGTGGGCAATTGGGCGGAAGGGAGGTTTCCGCCCTCTGTCCATTCATATAACGCACGTTGAAGACCAAGACAAAGCCTCTAAGTGTTCCATGTTGCGTGCTATTTTATGTGCGGTAAAAACAGAGCAAATTGCAAAAGATCTCCACATATTGTGTGTTACAGGAGTCGATATATCAAAAGTTATCGATCACATGGAAGTTAGTCGATTTGCCAAATCCATCTTGGTTGAGAAAAATCGACCTTTTTTTTCTTAATCTACCATGGCGTGGCCACTTGAAGTGAAATGTGTATCACATTCAGTCGCTTGAATGCTTTCATCGATCAACAATGGGTAAACTAACCGAGCGAAGGAGAAGCTGTTGCAACACTTTTTTTCAAGATAGAAAGGGGGGTTGGACGGTGGCCAAACTTCATCCATCAGTTTACTTTTCAGTAATCAATTATGACTAATAGAGCACAGAGTGGGTTTATGCTCAGATTTCTGAAGTTCACTATGAAACCGGGAATGTATTCTGTTTAGCAATGCTATAATGTTTTGCGCAATTAGCGTACGACAAATACTGTCACTTTGTCTTGGTTTAGTTAAATATCTCCTACCAGACATCGGGCTAAATGGTTGTAATCGGTCAATGATCTGATCTATACACGTAGTTGAAATAAAAGTTTACATAAATTACTCAACAGTACATGGTATTGCTTGGTACATAGTAGCTCGCATGAATACTGCAAACAAGGTTCCGGTTTCAATTCAAAATGATGAGGGAGGGGGGGGGGG